GCAATTAAGAGAAAGATTAGAACCCTATGACTTTCCCTTTGCTACTGCTATCATAGTTTTAATGAAAACCACTAGATGTTACAGTTCAAATGAGAACTAGCCAACACATCAACTTAGTCACACATTAAATTGACAACAACTCTTTCTACAGTTCTTACAACGCTAGAAATATGTAAATGATGGCAATTCTAAAAATAAGTATTTTTTCCAAATATACTTATGGTTGTGGGTAATATAATTTGAAAATCTTTGGCCATTGGATATTAAAATCCAAATTTATTTGTTCTCTACATGTATCGAGTCTGGAACAAATGTTTTATTGCAAATAGATAATGTTAACAGGAAACTTCCTGAACTGAATTTGGTCAGTGTTACATTTCTGATACTCTTTCCTTACGAGTTTTTGGTCTTAAATTTCCTCTTCTGCCAGACAAATTACACCCTATTCAAATTTTACTAAGGAACCTAATATTTTCCCACTGAATCAGAAAAGAAGATTCATTTATTTTAAAATGAAGGCAATTTTCCATGGGGAAATGTGTGAGATTTTAATTCTCCATAGTCTATATTCACATATTTTTATAGCCAAATTCCTTTCAGCTGACAGTGTGAAATTTAGCAAATTTTGAACATAGCTTATCTGTGCAGGAAAGCATTGCACAGTGAGTGAAAACTCACGTAGTTAGTTGATGACATGCAGGGCCTGGGTCAGAGGTCTGGATTCCAGTCTCTTTCTGCCACTTTCAGCTGCAAGAATTTGCATAGTAACAGTTTCTCTCACCCAATTTCCTTCTGTAAGAGATTAATAAATGATAAAGTTACAGAAAAATGATAATGATTTAAAAAGACATATTGTGTCACTCTGAAAATTTTGCACACCTTAAACTCTGGCAGGAATTAAGGAAAAATAGATCTTGATGGTAGGAACAACAGAACAATTGAGATAATATAGCTGTATGTTAAATTCAACTGCTTTAACAGAGAATAGTGTGTCTTCAGTTAGCCGATTGTATAAAAAATACCTAGGGTTTTAATTGATTGTTGCTTCCTTGTAAGTGACTAATGTGATTTAATTGCTCACAAAATCATGAAAGCTTATGTTACATTTGTGGTCATGTGGAGAACAGGGATCACTATCTCAAAGACCGAGATGTTGCTAGAAAGTATTGAAGCAAACTTGCAAGTGGTTTAACGGTTCCCTGTCTTTATTAGTCCCCTCCTTCCAATTCATTGTACACAACCATAGAATGACATTTTGGAATTTTAACATGAATTTCTCCAGCTTAAAATGAATCCATGGTTCTCTGTTGCTTTAGACAAAAGTGTCCAAACTCATGAACATGACGTACACATCTGCCTGGAGTAAGACTTCTGTTCAATCTCCCAGCCTGATCTGTGCCCATTCCCTCAGCTCTCTGATCCTGGACACCAGTCATGACAAACTGTCTTGTAACACCAGGTTATCTCAGCTCTTTTCATCTTTATCCATCCCCATCGTGCGTCCTCTGCCTGGATTTCTCCTTATTCTGTTCCAGTCTTCATGCCTGACTCAGAATACTTGGACTAATGCTATTTCTCTCTCAAGATGCAGCTGAGTTAGTGTCTGGCTTAAGAACTACTTTCGGATAATTGAGCATTCCAATGGCTCTTGGTTTTTTTTCATGAGATTTAATTTATTTATTTGTTTATTATTTTATTATTTTTTGTGGTAAGAACACTTAACATAAGATTTATCTTCTTAAATGTTGAAGTGCACAATGCCATATTGTTGTAGATCTCTAGAGCTTATTCATCTAGCACAACTGAAACTTTATACCCACTGAACAAAGCCCCACTTCCCCCACATCTCAAACCCTAGACAACAATATATTCTCTGCTTCTATGACTATTTTGAATACCTCATATAAGTGGAAACATATAGTATTCATCCTTCTGTTACACTCTGTCCCAGCATTAATATGTGTTTTCTTTTTGCAAGCCCCTTGAAGAAATCATGTATGTCTCATTTCTTGTGTCCCTGACTCATGACCAAGTACATACATGGGGCTAAATAAATGTGATATGTAAATGTACGTGTTTTAAGACAAATGAATAACTATATTAATCTGATGTCACAACAGTGGGTGGAACCAAAAAGTGTACATTGGCAGAGCAATTTGTGCTGTAAATTTTCAACAATAAAAATGTTTAATAAAAAGTTTGGATAAGTCATCTAGAAATTACGGTTTAGAGGAGATCGCTTCATTAGATGATGAATTAGATTTGCTATTATCTAAGTAATAATAACATAATAAGAGTAGTCATTTTATTCATATGTCATCTCCCCCAGCAATTAATGAGGGCTTGTTATGTGCCAGGCACCATGCTAAGTGTTTTACATAGATTTTCCCATGTACCAGCAAAAAAATAGAAGGAGGTGCAGGTATATGAGTTGATTTGACCTTGTTGCAACATGATTGAGTGACAAGAAATTCACACTTACCCAGTTCTCGCTTTTCTACCTACTTCAATGCACACACTGCCCTGCCTCCTGCATTCCTGGGGCGGCCGAAAGGCAGAGCCCTGAGGTCACAGCATCTCCCCTGATGACTATGTGACACAGGGAACACCATGGCCAGCATCAAGGGAACAGGGAAATTGAGAGGGCACCATGAAAATAAGAAAGAGTCCTGGAATCCAGAGGTCTTGGGGGAAAGGGACAGGAGTTGAGACTCAGGTTAATGAGAAGGTGGCAAAATGTAGAGGCTGGTTCAGCTCTCTTCACCCTCTTTAAAAACAATCACCGCCCACCACAAACCATGAGCAATTCTACTTACAGATTTCAGCAACAAAGAACTTTCCTTGGATTCTTTCATCCCTCTGGCACCACTCCCAACTCCATTAATTTTACCTACACTCTCTTGTCTAATATTTTTTTAACCAGAAACAAAGCTTTTCAGTTTACAATAAAACAAAAAAGTTGGAGAATTATGCCTTGGTCCTGGAATAAACCTTACATTTATTGCATTGTTAATATCCAGAACGCTGTCTTTCTTTCTTTCTTTTTGCAGAAAGTCAAATGATTTCTAGACTGCACTATATCATTTCCTGGATACATATGTAATATATTTGTTTTCCTACCTATGTTTTAGCCTGGAGCATAAATAGAAAGAATTTGCGCTTGGGGCCAAACTTTGGAAATAGTAAGAAAAGAGTACATTAAAATCCTTGTTCATAGACCATTAGACATAATGAAAATGAATCTTCCAGATGCCCTTACTGCCACTCCAACTGAGGCAAGAAATATTATGCCTTAGGGACTGCAGAGAAAGGCCATATAATTCAGCAAGGCTCAGTATAGATCTGATTACACAACCCGACTAGGAATTCCGTTCTTCCCTTCCCAGACACGACAGTCTGCCATTCCCATCCGTGCTGTAAATTACCCCCAGGCTTCGATCCACCGTGAATTTGCTTTACCAGGACTGGGTTATATTAGAACTTTGTTTTTAGTATGCTCCTTCCTCAGTGTTTAAAACTTTCTTCATCCCCCCCCCCCAAATGGTACTGACTTCGATTAAACCAAATTCTGACCCACTCTGAGCTGGAAGAGAAAAGGGGAATATGACTGTTTTCTACTTCTTAATACTTTGGAAATCTTATGGGCTATATCTCATTTGCTGTCAAAGAACTTTTTCATTAATAAAGTGTAACTCAGCAGATATCAAAATGATTCTCTTAAAGCATAAGGAATAGATTACTTACAAAGTTCTTTTGAATTTTTCTGACCATGATACTGTGGTATCAGAAGCATTATTTATTATTTTGATAGTATGTGTGTTTATAAATACATTTTATATAAGTTACCATTGTAATATAGAATATAAGCAAACTGATGTACTATTTATAACATACAAATAAATATAAAATATGTGATAACATATGAATATATAATAATGCTATAACACAGATTATTTAAAATGTTTTTCTCTACCCATTATAACTCATATGTCTCAAAAGGATGCTTCACATGCACAGAGTGATCTTCTGGTAAATGTCATTTTTTTGTTCACCAACATGAGACTTGAAAATGTATAAATACCATATAGTTATATAGTACATATTATAAAATGTAGAGAAACATTTTAAAGATATATATGAATTATAGTCATGTCTTGGCAAGCACAGATAAAATGCAACACCTGATACAAAGGAATTCAATTTGATCTTCCTAACACAGTGAGCTTGGTGTCACATAATAATGTTCTGAATAGTCTGTCCAAAAGTCAGTATCTCACATGCTTATTCCGGACATCATGGCCTACAGTTCTAGCTAAGATCATCAAAAGAATCATCTGTAGATGCAAAAAGAGCTAAACAGGAAAACTCTGATTGTTTAAGGGAGTCTCCAACTAAAAGCAAAAGGTAACTTTTCCTAAGAGTGTAATACCTGTCTTGGTCCAAACTGCGATATTCTATTGACCAAGTAACTGCAATAAAAGAGAGCCTCAGTTTCCCCTTGAGGAACCTTGGTGTGTAAATAGCAGTCCCAATAGCAGCCTTTTCTGCTGTGGAAAATAAAACATACATTTCAGGTTTGGAGATGTGATATGCTCCCCTTTAGGTTCTGACCAAAAGAGCTGACATGAAAATGCAACCTCATGGACTCAGACTCCAATTCTGGGGAGTTTCACTTTTGTTGAAATTTAAATCATCGGGGAATAAAAGTCACAAGTAGAACAATATTCTTCGACACCCTAGAGTAAGCTTGTATGTTTCAGCGCACCTTATATGCTTCAGAGGACCCATAATTCTGTCTCACAAAGAATTTAGAAACTTCTTTTAGTATGGCAGGTTTTAGTGCAGAATAAAAGAAGTGAAAAATCTATGTTATAACCTTTACAGGCAGTTCTCAAAAATGTATGTTATTGGGACCTATAATCACTCACTATGTTAAGTATAAATACATGTGTATTTATATTATTTGCTTTAACTGATCAAATTATAGTAAGCCAAAGGTATTTTTTTCTGAGTACTTTATAATATTTTAAAGATTTTGAGTAATTCACATATTAAGATTTATCTTTGAATTACTTCATTAATAAATTTATCCAAGTTCTTTTTAAACATTCGGCATTGTGGGATGCCAAGAGAATCAATAGAAGCTACCCTTGAGGTACTTACAACCTATTCAAATCAGCAACATAAAATCATATTAAAATAATTTCTCATTTAAGCTCGATCTAGAAAGGTAACATAGTCTTAGTTGATTCTTTGTTCATAACACATAAAGCTCCATGAAGTTTGGTTGTTCCCCTTTCTTAAAGGTCAAAGATTGTAATTTCTAATATTTCCCCAGTCTTTAAGTATGTTTATCTATGAATAGTTAAAAGATATGGAAATGAATTTCAAATATGCCTGGTCCTTTAAGTATGCCCTTGAAGACAGTGCAGACCTTTTACTCTTAGATGACTAAGCACATGCCTGAGGCTGAGGCTGATATAAACCAGCCCTTGCTTTTCCCTTTAGCAACATAATCATCTAGACAAAGTCTGCCTCAGATGGGCAACCAACAGTCTTCTCTCTGTGGTTATCCTCTCTCTTCTTCCATCCTCTGGGTCCTCTCTGGTGAAAATAATTTCCTTTTAAGCCACTGAAAGTTCATTTCTTTAAAAATATGATATATGGCTATTTAGAAGTTCTAACTCTCTTTTTCAACATCCTGAAATAATTCAGTAATGTATTTTCCCAGGTAATCCCAACGTCTCCCAATCCTCTGACTTTCATCTAGTCCAGAGCCCTCTGCCATAACTCTTAAGATTACTAGGACACATCTTTTCTCTGTGTCACTCTTATCTTTCATTCTGAACTCCTGACTTCTCTTTAATCACCGTGGCCTCCTTGCTCACTGTTCATCAAGGTGTCATCCTCTCCCCACACCACTTGGTCCCAAAGATGAACATAAATAATTTTGTCCAGCCCCATTAACACAGAGCTAGTGTGTGTATTAGATGGTCCTGAAGCTTTGGAGTTGATGGTGGAGAATCACAACAGAGTACACCAAATCATTTGAAACTGGGTATAGATACCATGTTTCTTGAGTTGTTTTAGCCATTTCCATAAAAGAGGGCTCCTTTGTGCCTGTCATCTCCTTAGGCACAGTCCTCTTTTGATGTCCTTAGGGCCTCAGAACTGAAAGATGCTCTCTGCTCACTGCCTCTCCTCCCCATCCTGCTAAGCAGCAACATGGTATCAATCCACATACAACAAATCATACCAACAAAAAACAAAGCATTTTCTAAGGTTAATAACCTTTACTTCATTACATACAGAATGTGTCTATTGTCTTGACTTCTCCCTATAGGTGCTTCATTTCCCATTACTACAAAGCCTATTAAAGAGCTTGCTTAAATAAGAGAGCAGTTTTCCCCAGAAGTGAATTTGTCACTACAGAAGACTTAAGGAAGTTAACAGACCATGCCCTGCAATTTATTCAGTAACATTTCCCCTCCTCCTTTCACGTGACATTGCGTTTCTTTGTTTACATAGTCATAAACCTTCTACCTGGAGCAATGTAACTCCAAACAGCGTTTCTAAGAAGTGGTAATCCTGTTCCCTGGGAAAGGACCGCAGCAGACAAATCATCTGAAATAAAAGTGAGTCATTTGGAAGAGGCAGACTGGCCTGGCTGGGAGGAGGTACGAAAACATGACACAAGGGAACTCAAACTTCATATTTGGACTGAGCATTTGAGCGCTTAGGTCTTTTGAACTAGGCTTACGGATACATGAATATATCTACAGGCTCATTAATCCTTTGTCTTTGAGCCAACAGTGGAAAATCAGCCCTTTGCAATGATGTATCTGCTTCAGTCTCTGTGTGCCAACATCACCTTCCAGCATTTTCAAGCCAAAGTTGTCTCCAAACCAAAAGGCAAGAAATACCTCCTACTCCAGGTGGGAAACCTGCAATTGCTGACAGTTCCTCGAGGCTCTAGAATTCTCTCTTCTATCCCTCTCTTCCCCACATCCTTCCACTTTTCCTTCTTGTCTCTTTCCACTTCTCCCATGAAAGCCATCTCCTCCCTCTCAGTTCCCGAATGCGTGCTCTTAAATCGGGGGAAAGGGTAGAGGGGGACAAGCGGGAAGGCTATAACACCCACTGTCCTTTTCTCCCCCAAGACAGACGTTTTCTCCACACTCCACAACCTTTTCCTCTCTCTGATAGGTTTGCTGTTTTCTTGACAACTTTGTAAAATTGCATTCCTAAGTTAGTTCATCACTGTTTTTTATTGTATGCTCTTGAAACTTTCCAGAACCCTTAACCATGGAGGTTTCAGTAAATGGAGTTAGCATTTGGGCCCTACAAAGAGTCAGAGACAAAAATAAGAACAGTCACTTGGTCAAGAATCTTTATACAATATTTAACCATCTGAGCTTACAAGATAAAGGACAGACAGTTCACTCTTCGTAACACGGTCAGCAAAACTGGGCTTATAGCAGGCTTTTTGGTCCTTGTTATTTGCAGGAACACTGAGTTCTCAAAGGAGAACTCTAGACTGAATTAAACTGGTCGACCCACAAAGTATGCGTCATATAAATATTTAATTACATAACTACATAGTTGTCATAGTGAACCCTTGTCCCCCTTCTTTACGAGTAACTAGCTTGGCATCTAGGCAGCATTGTCCGCGTTATAAAAGGCAGAATTACAGCTCTTCTTTGAAAGAAAGTAGTTAATAAAGTAATAAAAGTAAAGTGGATAAACCTAACTTCTAGTTTGGAGATCACTGCAGAGATAACTCAATTTCCTGAATTTTTAGAATGTAGAATTTGTGCTCTTATGACTTTCCTGAACGATATGGAGAAAGACTTCTTTTTCCTGAGAAGCTACGTGGCATTACTTCATCCTCAGATTCACTTTTGCCCTTGGACTCTTTCTCACCCTTCTCCTCCTTAGGGAGAGAGAGAGAGAGGGGGAGAAAACACTGTTTCAGCCAACTGGCTTTATTAAAGCTTTCTCATCTACAAGGCATGAGAATATGTTTATGAATCTGCCTCTCTCCTAATTGGCAATAAGATGAACAATTGTTCTTTAATTAGAACCTTCTGAGCTCCACCATGTTGTATAACCCAGGTGTTTAACCTACCTCAGTCCAAGTGAAAGTTGGTGACGTGGGTCAACTGATAATTTTATTTAATTATCAAACAGTGGAGGATTAACTAAATATTGCCACCAATGAATCATTGAGTTACTTTCTTGGCTGGTTATTAGAGCAGGGGAGGGTGGAGTTACGGAGGGAGTGTACTGGAAACCACAGTAAGCTTGGTTACTAGCCTTGATCCTGACAAAATTTATCTGCATGGGGCCAAGTAAACCCCCAAGATTGCTGGAACTTGATTTTCCAATCTGTAAAAGTATAATTTATAAGATTCTCTCCAGGTCCCAGATTCTGTAATTCTAATCAACACAGAAAGAGATTGAAAGACAGAAAGAAATATATACTTATGTTGCCAATGGATTGGTTATTGCAAGATTTTGTGGATTTGAGAAGCTCATATTTAGTTAACACTTTATCAGTCATGTTTTACTTTTATGACATTTTAAGAAAAATGTTTGCTAACATTGTTGAGGGATTTCTTAGCTAAACTATAATCAGGAGATATCTCTGAAACTATTTCTCTTCTTGTCTCAATTCTATCTCTTTGATCTACTACAACTTGCTGAAAATATCAATGTCACTGACAAATAGAAAAAGATACAGTTAATCATACCTCATTGAAAATCACATGATTGCCTCTTTTCCCTGATGTTTGGCTGTAAATGAAATCCAAGAGCAGTATCTTTTATTTGTGTGTGTTCTTCTTCGTGTATGGAGAACATCAGGCAATGACTCATATTGTTGACACACGGCCAGCCCAGCTGGGTAGGCACAGAATGCGTTTCATAACAACAGTGACAAAGAAAGAAAGACAGGGAGAAAAGTGTGTTTGCTTATTTAAAAATCTATATGGCTTACTGCTACAGACACAAGATGCAAACTTTTCTAAGAAAACAGCTTAAAAGAAATGCAAGCTGTTTGGAGCTAATCAAAAATTACTTTAATAACTGTTAATACATCTTATACTCCTTGAAGGTAGCTATTCCCTCTGGAAACCTCATTATCCCTCACCAAAAAGAAGCAACAGTTTATGAATATCACCACAATGTCACTCCAGTGACAAGTTGGAGATATAAAAGATAACATAAAAATACTCTGCAAGAATTTTGGAACTTTTTTGAGAAAAATAAGATAGGAAAAGGATTGTATATAAGGGGAAAAAAAGATAGCCCGTAAACTTTTCAGAGATTCGATAAATGAAATTAGCGATGTCTGTACTCTAGCTTTGAAAGGATGAGTCATTTGGCACAGAGCAATGTCAAAGAAGAGACGTTTCAACAGAATTGTCCATAGATAACATTTCCCAGTGCAATAAGTGTAAATGACATTGCTACTCATTCTGTCTTCTATCTATGCAGTATAGAAAGTTGAATTAAGTTGTTAACTGGATAGTTAAAAGTAAAGCTTTTAGGATATAGGATAGTTTATAACATGCATATTCTCACTAGTTTAAAAAAAAAGCTCCTAGAATTGTGACAGGAAAGATCACTTTTTCAGACTGCTTATAGAGAAGGCTTCCCTGAGCTAAAGAACGTATGATTCAGAAATGGGCACCTTGGCAAATCCCCCATTTAGATGGAGCTCAGGTGAGCTTCTCATTCTGGTGATGAAAAATCATGCCAGAGTGCCCGATCCAGCCACATTCACCTTCATGTGGAGATTGACGATAGTGATGCTTCGGTAGTGAGGAGAAAGATTCATTATCTTAACAACTGATGCAGAATTTCCCTTAAGGAGGATACTTAGTTTGTTGGAGGAAAATGTCTTGGAAGACATTTAGAAGTAGAAAGTGAAATTTTGAAGGCAAGGAAAAGTCTGCCATGGGAAAAGACAACTGCTTTGAATTTCTATAAACAAGAAACTGGGGGTGAGAGAAGGAATAAAACAAGACTGATAGGCAAAAGATGACCTTGGCTACATGATGAGAACCTGGATCCCAATATTCTGAATCAGGAAGAGAACTTTAGGAACATTGATCTTGAAGTGCATTGTTTTATTGTGGTAAAATACAAATAACATAAAATTTCCCATGTTAACAATTTTAAGTGCACTTTAAGTGGTATTAAATACAGTCATAACATTGGGCAAAATCACCACCATTCATCTCCATAAGTCTTCATCTTGTAAAATCTCTCCAAATTGATCTGTAGCTTCAGTACCATCCTAATCAAAATTTCAGCAGGACTTTTTCAGTGAAAGTTGAAAAGTTGTTTCTAAATATTTATCTAAAATCAAAGGAAGTAAAATAATGAACAATCTTGAAAAATAAGAATAAATTTGTGAAGCTTACATTCTCAACTGAGGAAAAAATTCTACTCAATAGATGATAATGTACCCTTTGTATGTTCATATGAAAACAAAATGAACATCAAGCCCTACCTTATACAAAAGTTATTCTGAATATATAGTAGAAATAAACATGAAGCTGATAAATAAAAGAAGAAAACATGGGACTATCTTCTTGTTTTTAGGATATGTAATGATTTCTTACACAGAATATAATAAGAGATGGCAATAGAAAAAAAATCAACAAATTAGACCTCTTAAAAATTATATATACTATTCAAAGACACATTTAAGAAAATAAACAAGGAAACTAGGCAATAGGAAAAAATATCATCTCTATACATATACAAGATAACATACTTGTATCTAGAGGATATAAAAAAGTTGTACATCTCAATAATAAAAATACAGACAATTAAAAAGTGGTAGAGCACTAAACAGGCACATTACAAAAGAAGATATAGGAATTGTCAATATTTATTAGACATTATTTATTAGTTTTTAAAGAATTTCAAATTAAAATCATGATTAGGCAACAACTTAATGCTCACCAAAATAGCTAAACTTTAAAAGACTGACAATATCAGATGCTGTGGAGGAGCTAGAGTAACTGGATCTCTCATATATTTCTGGTAGATGTGTCAAATGGTACAACCATTTTGGAAATCAGGTGTTGAGTTTCTTGTAAAATTAAATATACACCGACTCAATGGCCAGAAGTTCCACAGTTGGGTGATTACTTGAGTACAGGTGATTTTCTGTTTACAATAGCCAAGACATGGAAGCAACCTAAATGTCCATTAACAGATGACTGGATAAAGAAGTTGTGGTGTGTGTGTGTGT